AGTAAGGATTATAGTAAACAAAACCATGTGCATTATTACAAACAAAAAGTGAAAAGTTTATTCTCAAACAATTATAACACATACGTAAATATAAATGATAAACACATACAATAAAAATACCATGATACAATTTACTCATCTTCATCATCATCATTACTCCCCTTGCCTTTGCCACCCCTCCTGCCCATGCCTTTAGTCATGCCATCAAATGACTGTTTAATGCCAGTCTTGATGCCATCGCCCATACGCTCGCCGTACTCGTGGCCCAACACATACCCGATATCGTAACTCCGGTCAGCTATGTCTCCCCTGTCCTGTTTGAATGGTCCGTAGCCTATGCTCGGTATATCTGAGTAGTAATAAAGGAGAGAGTTTATAATACATAGTAAAAATAGTAAGCGATTGAATAATACAAGCAAGTAACTAGTATTAAATAATGTTTTTACAATCAAGTATTACCTTTTTCTTTTAATAAACTTCGGCCGACCACGTTCCAGGGCGAATCGACGCGCCTGGTATATTTGTCCCGCTCCCAATGATTACGGTCATCCTGGTAATCGCGAGTGTTAATATAGTTTCTATTTTTACGCCCACCTCTACGGCCACCCATGCCCTCCCTTTCGCGCCCACCCCTGCCTTCCCGTTCGCGTCCATCGCTGTCCCTGTCGTTGTCATCGTAATCACCATCATCGTCATCTTTTTCATCATCATCTTGGTCATTGCGGTTATTATTTTCATTATTATTATTGTCCTTGTTGCGTTTCCTGGTATGTTGACCATTCACCATTAGGATTATGGCCAATATTAGTACAATGTAGAATACCTAATTGAATGTAAATGTAGTAATACAAGTAAGTTATATAACATTTTGCAATAAAGTGGTATTATTTATGGATTTACTTGTTTAGTCATTATATTGCATAAGATTATTTATTATGGTCAAATATTTATACAACACAAAATACAGTATAAGTTTGTATTGTTTGTTATAATTAAAAGCATTCACTCATCATTAAAATATTTATATATTAATTAAATGACCTTGTACATCGTCGTGTGCACACGATTCCCATGCATAGCCTAGTCTCGGTATAAACAAAACAATTTAATCTTACATCAAAAACAATATATAATTTATTTATTTACACATAAAATGGTAAGTTTAATATACGGTATAATAGTAAACGCGGAATATTCCAACATGTTAACAAAACATATAAGCATACAAATAAGCAGTACATTAATTATTAATTAAATACTAATAAAAGTATTAAAAAATTATGATGATATTTATAAAACATAGATAGAATTACGAATTAAACAAAAATAATTAAGGATCTTCTCGGTCACTTTTACTATTTTTATTTTTACCACCACGACCACTTTTGCTACTATCACCATCATCATCACCCTT